TTTCTATACATTCTTCTATTTCAAGCTTTAGAAGATACAACAGTAGGACATAAAAAAATATATATTAGTTATGATGCTTCAAAGTAAAACTTTACTTATTACTATGTAGAAAGAATAATGCATAGTTGCACTTAAAAGAAAATGCCATGTAGCTGCCACTCCAAAGACATTCCTTTGCTATATGCAGTATCCTGTAATATGTCAATGGGAACACATATACGAAATGACATAGCATGTTTAAAAGATAATAATGGGAGAAGCACATAAAATCTGAAAGTCCCTGGATGGGTTGTCAAGGAATATGAGATAAACAGACATTGGTAGCGGTATCAAATCTGCATTAATACTGTTCTCATTAACATCGCCTGGATCTAGTTGCATTCCCTTGCCAGTTTATCAAGTAAAAAGAATCATATGCGTTAATGGGAGTTAAAAATAAGATACAGTTAGCGCTGAATCCTCAAGAAAACCCAGTGCTCTTAATTAAAATGATTATATATTACCTTGTTTTTTTTTTTTTAAACAATTTTTATTGTCAGAAATGGAAAAAAAAACCCAGTGCATACGCAGATGCATCAGACCATTATAATATATATAACAATAGCAGAGTGCGTGATGCAACAGCTGTATTAACTAAGCTTTGAGCAGTTCTTTTTTTTTTGTTTTGTTTAAACATATCAACTTGTTACCTACTAGTTTACATTGTGTCATGTCTTACGTATATTGCCCTACCCCTACGGTTCGCAAGTGTCTTTGGTATCTCATTCTTCTAGTAACTCTTTAGCCTATTGAATATCATGGATTTCCCCCTAACGTAGACCTTAGCATGTATGTCGAGTATTGAAAGGGGGACAAAAATGACTCCCTTTCTTGAGTAGTAAAAATCTTGTCTATAAAGGACATCCATCTATTGAGAAAGAGAGTCACTCTGTTATCCTCCTCCCTTTGGGTCTCAGCATCCAGTTTTTCCAAATGGAGTAGATCCAGGAGATTTTGTCGTAGACCCTGTATGGTGGGAGGGCTTGGGGAGAGCCACTCTTTCATAATACAGCGTTTGGCTGCTAGGGAGGCTATATTTATCCACTGCCTGTGGTGTTTGCTCATCGCAAGAGGGTGAACCCAATAGCCAAATAGAAGTAGAAGGGGGTCTAGCGGGATCTGTTGACCCACCACCGAGGCCATAAATTCTATCGCTGTTCTCCAGTAATTCTGAATCAAGGGGCAAAGCCACAAGCAGTGAAATAGTGGAGCAGCCGGCATTTGACATTTGGGACAATGTTTCAGGTACCCTGGGTCATGACTGGGTGTGTGCTGTAATTGGAATGCATAATAAGCTCTGTGTATTATCTTAAATTGGGTCTCTCTCCATTGCTCATTTACCATTGCCTTACAGATAGAGCGGTATCCCTTCAGGATTTTTTCTACCAAGTCTTCACTGGGAATGTCGTTTTGCCATTTTGTCAAATTAGAGCTCGTCAAAGGGGGAATGTATGCCTGTCTCAGATGAGAGTAGATGGTCGATATAGACTGCCTGTCAGTGGTCGGGATCCTTTCAATGAGGGATTGGTTGGTTAATCTACATGCTGTGGAGCCAAGTTTGTCTAGATGAGTTGTCGCCTGTAGGAAGTGTAAGAACTCATGTGCGGGCCTCCGGGGATAAGAGGTGTGCGAATTTGGTGATCCCCTTGGTCTCCCATTTGGTGAAAGTGTCATATTCTTCCCCCTGAGGGAATTATGGGTTTCCTTTCAGGCTCACATACTGGGAGAAGTACGGGTTGGCTTTCACCATTTTATGAGTCTCCCTCCAAGCAATTACTGTGTCTCTAATGATAGCATTGGATCTTAGAGTTGCGGGGATTTTAGAAAAGGGGCAATGTAGAAGGTTGGAAAGTTTCCAGGGATGTGCCATCTCTGTTTCCAGGTGAAAGTTTGAGTAGTGGGAGGAGGAGCTAATCTAGTCAGCTGAGTGTCTAAGTAGACATATATGTTACCTTGTAATGAAGGACCTCATTTCAACTTTCCAACCGTACTATCTAGGGTTTATCCATCAGAGGTGTAGAGAGGGAAAATATTTTTGGGCCTGGGAGGTTTATGGGGCAAAGATACCATATCACTTTTACCTTAAATGAAATGTACATATAGATACTAATATATATATATATATATATA